ACTTGAAAATGTCCATCAGTCCATGGGTGAATAACAGCATTAATAGGAACGCAAGAATATTGAATAACGGTAATATCTGCACACGGATCACAGAGGGCTTGAATTTCTGTATTATTGTCAATAGTAACAGGTATTAAGGCACGCTTATTTGTTTGAGTTTTAATACAGTTTATAGAATGATCATTTTCATTTGCAGGCTCAGATCTTGTGGGAGGAATGTTGCGATTTGTGTTGCGACGTAAATTTGGATATTTTGAACTGGTGGAGCTGCGTGGTTCATTATTACTGGAACTAAGTGAGTGTCGAGTTGACGGGAGCTGAGTTCTCGGTTTGTTGTGGGATTCTTGAACGGATCGTGAAGAATTTCGTGATTGAGTTGTAGGTAAATTTCGTTGAGGAGGTAAACTGCACATAAAAGAAGCATGACCTTTTTCACCACATCGCCAGCAAGTAATATCTTGAACATCGTCAGAAGCAGGGTTATATTTACGTCTTTGTTCAATATGCGAAATGAAATTTTTTGACTGATTTTTAGGTACTGAAATTAAATTGTTAGCTGATTGGCGTGACATATTTTCTTGTTTGAAACTTCGAATTGCATCAAGTGCGGCAGCTCTGTCAATTAATTCTTCGACAGTAATGGAATTCTGAGTAGCTAATGCAATCTGCCATTTTTCTTCTGTANGCTTGTCATGTTGCAATTCTATTTTGAATTCCACATACGGACATAGTCCAATATTGTCACGGAGCTTTTTCAAGAATAGCATCCTTAGCATAAATATAATCAACTAAGCTTTCATTAATTTTTAATTTACGAGTGCTCTGATGAGCCAAAAATTCTTGCATTGTAATACGCCTTTTAAATCTGGCAGAGAGGGCAGTTTTCCATTCAGTCCAGTCATTATAAATTTTACCTCGTGTCATTTGCCAATTTTTTGCAGATCCAGCGAGGCGAGAAATATCATTAGTTAACTTAAGATCATCTGACCAATTAGCTAGTGTCGCAATTCTATCTACTTCTTTTATCCATTCAGAAGCATTATCCTATTATTTTTTATTTAAATATTGAAATGGAATTTGCGGTATCATTAGTGGATATAATTTGAATGATATTTGGTTGACTTACTTGTCTGTCCAGTAATTGTTTTTGAGTCTCCATAAATGTAGCAAGAATTGCTGCAATATTAGAATCAGTTTGCGAGAGAGGAGGTGAAGGGGCGAGTTGACGAATATGTTGACTGCTTAAAAATTCCACTTGTTTCTGAAGTAATTCAATTTTAGTCAATAATTCTGAGTTATCGAAGCAATTTTCTTCGGAATATTGTGTATTGTTGTCATTATTTGGCGATTGCATGCGAAGAGTTAAAAGTTCATCTAAAGTTCCATCATCTGTTCTTTTTATATTATCATTAACTATGCGCAATATTAAGTCATTTTTATTTCCATTGGGCGAAAGATTTCTTCAACGCAAGTCTGATTTTAACTGGGCGACAGTTAAATAAGTCAGTCGTTCCACATTCAAGGCATTTAAAACAGAATTCACGTCTGCTGACATCTTGGCGAGAAAAGTGCAGCTAATCTGTTTTGGCGACGTATGTTTGGCGAGAAGAAATCAGTGTGTAATGGAATCCAATTTTCAAATTTTTTTTCCGGTTAAATGTTATTTTTTGTCAAAATAGGTTTACCTGGGCGAGTTTCAGCCAATGATGAATATTTTTTTGCTTCGTTGGCAGTCAAAATGTCATGGAAAGAATTTAAAATGTAGCGATAGACTAATAAAGCGTTAGGTA